AAATATTTTTTTATTTGAACGAAAAATAGTTTATTTTGCGCCATCACCAAAATAGATAACGTTAAGTTATCTTTTCCCAAGATCATAAAATAGATAACTACTTCCTCTGTTCGCATATACCGCGCGCCGACATATCACCTTTTCACTACTACGTAGTATTTCCAAATTACTAGCAACATTTGCCAAGTGTTGTAAACTATCCGGACGTTATCCGTACAATCTGGGTGACTTCGATTGCACTTCGACGTACCACTTCTCAAATCCCTGAAAAATATAAAACTCAAAGATCTGATATTTTTAATTTTATAAAAGTGCGAAAAAACGAAGCAGTTTTTGAACATAAAGACGTGCTTTTCGAGCTTTTCCGTTTTTGATACTCTTTCAAATGTGGTTCGATTCATCAAATTTGGATCAAAATTGAACATGTAGGCTCACTGAGAAGTCAAATGTCGGCTCTAATATCGAACAGAGGAAGTATAACGGCACAATAAATAATCTATTCCATATTACAGGATAATACTGTACGACGTAGTACACATTAGTTGGCATGCTGCGAAACATCCGGATAATTAACCGGATATTTGTAGGGACGCTATTTAGGACTGTTGGTAATTGTTTCGCAACATGCCAACTAATGTGTACTACGTAGTACAGTATTATCCTGTAATATGGAATAGATTATTTATTGTGCCGTTATACTTCCTCTGTTCGATATTAGAGCCGACATTTGACTTCTCATTGAGCCTACATGTTCAATTTTGATCCAAATTTGATGAATCGAACCACATTTGAAAGAATATCAAAAACGGAAAAGCTCGAAAAGCACGTCTTTATGTTCAAAAACTACCCGAGCCGAGCTAGAGGCTGAGTTCCAACTCTTGCGTTCAATGCCAACACCACATGGTACTGCGTACGACAACAGTGTTGATGCGCGGCGCCAAGGCAGCAATGACAGCAACACACACGGCAGTGGTCGAGTCCATCATGTCACATTGAAAAGTTGGAATGAGATTGGGATCAATGATTGGATAGTGAGGCATCCATTATTAGCCAGTCATTGGGGAAATAGTTGGTTGCCCAAAATGGGATGAAATGGGGTCATGTACCCCATTTAAAAAAATGGATTTTGGAATGAGTTGGGGAGCGTTTTGATTGGATAATGCCCATTTTGAAATGTACTTGGAACAGGCATAATGTATTCAGATGTAACCATAGATTGACAAACAACGAAACTTGTTTGACCAAGCTTTATTGCTCCACCCAAATGCCGCCTCTGGCGTTGCATCCAGTCTCCTATTGTGTGTCACTTCGACCTCGAATTTGTAGCGACCAAATTGTGAGCCAATCAGCGAGCTTCATGAGTGATTGTCATTTTTGAGCGAGATCATCGTTTGTCTTTAATATAATGCTATCTTTGCGAAATGCACTTACAATACGTTAATTGCGTGAATGACCCGATTCAATAGCACGAACTTCAAGATCGTTGATATATGTAAGTTATTCGAATAACTCAAGCGTGCAAGAAATTATTTATTTTCGCCAAGGGGAAAGCTAACAAAAAAGATATTAACTGTAAGTTATCTTTTTCATCCTCCAGAAAACATAAGTAATCTATCAACCTGCTGGTTGAAAAGATACTACTACTATTGCGAACATTCCCGTCTTAACGTTACAGTATTAGGGGCTGGTCTGCGAACATTTACTCTTTTTCAAGCATGGACGCAAATACGACACCTGATTGGCTAAAACGTGAATTTTTCCGGATAACACAACCTCAAAAGCAGGGACGCCTGAGTTGAAGCAGGGATTTTTGAGTGTCCGTTCCGGCTTTTGCATGTTTTATATAGAAATTAAGAAATGTTTTTGATTTATTTTCAAAACCCTCGAATATAGTTCGGATAACATCCCTGCCTTAAAGCTCGGACGGTTTTTCACAGACCAGCCCCGCTATAATACTTCATATTTGAGTACCCCTAGGCGCCGCATCCACTGTCATCCGGAATCCGGTTGCGTCTTGGTTGCATGACGGTGCCCACAAAACGATTTTGTCCAGACGCATCCGGATTCCGGTTGCGTATCGGTTCCTACCTTCTCGATCCACCAATCAAATTGCGTTCGGTTCTGGTTGTTTCGTCATGGATTTTCCCCCGAACAGTCCCAAAAAACACCCAAATCTCCAGAAAATTATGGCATAACGTTACTGTTAATACTCCGGAGTAGTAATGTTTTGAACTTTGGTAGCATCTGGGAAAAACGGCCATCTTAAGCCATGTGATTTGCCAGCCTGAAAGGACTATGGTATACAAATGTAGTGTACACTTGTACAGTGGTATGTACTAGTACTACTACGAACTACTGTAATAGTACTACTAGTAGCACCTCCATATTGATTAGTATTATATTATACAGGTGTTATCGCATTTGCTGTACCTCATATCTCCGCCTAAACCTCTATAATGAGATAACGTCAGGACAAATCAGATATAGGTGTATAAAAGTTATACGGAAGCACAGTGAAAATTGAGCAGCATTCCTGATTATAACTTCGAAGACTTTCTAATTAGGACTCTCCCAGCATTAAAATCGGATAATTTCTAGTGCAATTCTCTGCATGGAAGTATACCTACAGTATTGTCAAGGCAATAACCTATTTTAACTGAGATACAATCGTTCAAAGCTCAACTATCAATCATTTCAAGGCGGAGGTAAGTTACTAGAGTAGTACACAGTATGGATTGGTTGTGCCTGCACTACAGTATCGGGGGTTTGGCTGTGGTAGGGAACGAACGTCCCATGTCACATTGAACGAGGTGGGATAATGCCGAGGCACTTGTACAGTTAAAAAATATTACATTAACGGTGGCTAACAAGCTCGGGACGCATGGAGACTGAAGTGATGCAGACTCAAACCGTTTGGTCGGACCAGTTCCGCGGGGTCCACAATGTGGTCGTCATAGATAAAGTCGCACATCTGTACCACGCTATCGGCGCGGCCGCCTGATGTGACGGCTTTGCCGGTGATGGCTGCTCCAAGGTGCCGCAGCCAGCAGTTCATTTCGTACTCCGTGGCCGCCGACAGGATAATGCGACGCTGGGGCGTGCGCAGCGCAAAACGCCATATCGTGGCTTGCTTTCCATTCGGTACCGAGTCTTTTGGCATGATTTCGACACTTGTTTCGCTGCATCCGGCGAGGTTTAGCACCCCCAGCAGCTTCTCACCGGTGTGGTTGTAGTACTTGAGATATCGGGTGCACAAGACAAAATGACTCAACGTCCATCGCTCCAGCCATCCCAGGTTGCCGCGCCGGCGGCGATACAGCACCCCCGTGGTGACCACCCCGTTCTGCGATCGATTCATGTCGTACGACTGCGTCGGTCGCGTGGGCTCTTCCAGCATCGGTATTGCCGCGGAGAACGATGTCCGCAGCACACTTCGTTCATACATACTCTGTGTTCCGTCTTCGACACTTCGCATGGCATGCGTCGTGCTCTTGGCCTTGATCTGTGGCGTTGTGTAGCGTTCCTCGTATCCATAGGACGACGACGAGAGATCGGACCGCGTGGACATGCTTGGGGAGATCCTCAAGCGGTCGCTGGTCAGTAGGTACATCTGCCTGTTGATCTCTTCTGGGGTATGAATGATATATAACTTTTCGTCCACGGCCGCGGGCGGCGGCATGCGAGAGGAGGACGTTGGGTGGGGCTCCTGCATGCTCGACGAGATTACACACTGAACAGTTGAAACTCCAGTGGAATTTTATTTTCTCCTTTTACTTGCACAACGTATGTGAATTTACATGTCTCTATATTATATTTTGGCAAGGCCCATTTTATGGGACAAAGTATTTTTCTCACCAAGATGATTTCGACCCGACCAAAATTTGGCAAATATTTCGAAATATGTGGTTATAAATTGGCAATCTCCGTCTTTTTACTCTTGAAAACCTGGGATTAACCACACCAGCCAATCATACTGCAGAACTGGTCCTGTCATCGAGTTAGAATGTCGCAAACGTATGGGAGTACAAGTTGTCAACGCTGCTCGTCAAGGAGGGCTTCAAAAGTCCCCCTCATCCACAGATCAGATGTATTAGATAAGGTAATTCGAATTCCACTGTGAACAAGTGAAATCGTCGACCAAAATCAAGAGCCTGGCTCTTCTCTCCCCCGTCACTTCGTCCTTGTACGACCAAGTGACCACTACGTGTACAGTAATGCTTGTAAACCGGGGAAGGAGTGTGGTACACCAACATTCATTAGTATACATACGAAGTACTCGGTAGTAAATTATTTTATCGAGTAACGTAGGTTATGGTGCACGGGATAGTTCAAGTTGGAGCACTCAAATTGGCCAAGGGAATAGCTTGATTTTTGGAATAACCAATCGAATCACTATAAAAATGAAATCACCAAAACATAAGCAAAACTAGCATACTCCGAGACCACACTGTAAGCTTATTGGAGTAAACTGTCCGTCCCTCCTTAGATAAGTTTACTGGTATTTTGCCTTGACGTGAGTAGAAATCGAAGTAAATGAACGCTTTAATGTTAACAGTAGTTCACAAGCCGATAAAATAGCTTCATAATCCCTGTCCTGAGAGACGCATGCATTCTACGACAAGGTCCCTTTCAAGTGACCATGTACGTTACATCTGAATCTGTGGATTGGAGACATTTAGGCTGTCCCTGGTTCCATCATGCAATCCGCCCAAGCACCCCGTGAGGATTGCAACAGATCGGCGGCGATCGCGTCGTCTGTCGTTTCCATGGTGACGTGATTTTCAACTCCCACCGCTCAAGTACTTCGAATCCAAGCGTGGTTCATCAACCAATGCGGTACGTCCACGATGTCATGTTGTTATATAGGATGCACTGGACATGCTATGTGCACCCGTGTTGTCATTACAAGTCGTCCACTGTACTTCTTTGTACGTGTCGTCGCGATCGAATTCCTACTTGTCCCCTTCGACATCTTCGTCATCCTCGTCGTCGTCACCTGATGAAGGCGGTGGCTTTTGAATCGCCACGTCCACGCGATGCCACGCGTTGTTGAGCACGCCGCGCATGTTCCAAATGGGAGCGATCGAGTCTGGCTGGACGTTGTACGACGAGTCGACTGCTTTGCACACCAACTTGACGTCGGTCATATGGTCGGCGATGTCCACGTCCAGCGACCACGGCGTCCATGCCCATGCGCGGTTATACTTTTGTCGCACGCCCAATGGATCCAGCGCCGCTTCTTGCCACGTGGCGCCGCCATCCAACGACACGTCCACGCGGATGATGTTGCGCCCCCCGCCGCTCCATGCATATCTACATATCCCATCATCGTCTGATCCAAGGATATGACGGTACATACCCCTTGATCGTCATGACGTCGGCTTCTTCCGAGCCCTCGGGCGGCCACGTTGCATTTGGCTTGGGCTCTGTGATGGCCGACTGTACCGGGAGTTCCTGGATGCTCGGGCCTGCATACTTGGAAAAGTCGGGGGTTGCGTAGTCGATCATGGGCGAGAACCCGCGGTAGTCCTTCTGCTGCCAGAAGCCCGGGTACTCTTCATGAGAGAGCACAATACGTCCGAGGAACTTGACGTTGCGGGCGCCGACAGTTCCAGGTACAATCGCTCGTAGGGGGAAGCCATGGTCTCGCGGAATCGGTTCCTACAGTCCAAACAAAACGGTCCCTAACGTCATAGTTGGAAACAACACAAAACGACACGCACCCCATTCATGCTGTACGCCAGCAACACATCTTTGCGCGGATCCAACGCGGTTGAGATGGGAATGGACGCGCCGTAGCTCTGCCCCGTAACGTCCTTGTCCAGGCCTTCAAGATGACAGTGTTCAATAGTCGACGAGCATTCCGAAGGATAATCGTTGGTTAGGGGGAGGTTGGCGCAAGTGGGGCAGGCAGATGGGAAGGCGCGGCAGTGCTGCTCCTCCGACACGCCAATGTACGCCAGAACTTCTGACAGCAGCACGCCCGTCCACGTGGCCGTCGAAACAGCCGTTGTGTCCCTGATCAATCCCCCCTCGTTATTACTTTGGACATTTGATCAATATGAAGAAAGTCACGTTCAGAATGTACCAGCTGAGCCCTTTGACCGGCTTGACGGCAGACATCTCGGCGCGGCGGTTGCCGGCGCATTGAAGCGTGGTCACAATCGTGTGCTCGTTGAACGTTTTCTTGAGCTCGTCCAATGTAAACGCCACCGTGTTGGGCTGGTCGGGGTTGCCTGTCGTCATTGCATGAGGTTCAGTCCTACTACTTCAAAGTATATGCACAGTACACACAAAATAACTGCACTGTGACGACCAAAACGCATGGTTGACGTCAATGTCGTCGGACGTACCGGATCGAACGCCCAGCCCAGCAATCTCGAGCTTGAATGTGGATGCGTCGATGTCGGGCACGGGCAGATGGTTGCGCACGAAGAAGAGGTCGTTGGGGGTGATGAAGGACTCGGTCAGGAGCTCCGCGGGGGGTTCGGCATTGAATGGTTGGCTGGCGTTGACTTTGAACAGTGGGTTGCGCTCAGGGTCGTTGGCGTACGGCCCGTCGCCGTACTTCTTGAGCCGCTCTTCCTCGAGTGCCTGGACGTCGGCCGGGTCCAAGTTGCCTACGCGCAGACCCTCGAGGATGACATGCACGTCCGCGTGGTTGTGCGCGGCATAGATCTGCCAAAACGGCTCGATGGACTTGCCCGCGGCGAGAAGGATCTTGGAGCCACCGGGATGCTTGCCAATGAACTTGGACACGTCGTACACGCCGCTCTTGTACACGACCCACACCCCGCCGCCTTTGGTGCTCACGTGCGACGCCACATCGGCGAGGGTGTACGTGGGAAGGTCTGGCTTGAACGCGCCAGGCACGACCTTCCCAGGTTCGGCATTCTCTTCCTTCAATGGAATGTCTGATGCACCAGGCGCTGCTTGCATGTAGGTCACTGTTGTCAGAGTCAACGCTCCAAGGCCGAACGCAGCCAGCGTCGTCATGCTCTGGCTGGCGTGGTGGGGCCACTCCTGCTTCTCCATACACGAAACGACCGCGGCCTTTTGGCTGTGCAGGTGACGACACGAAGACATGGATGGACGCATGATCTTCGTCGACTTTCCATGTCGCAGGGTGTGGCAGGCGGCGGCCGCCGACTGGCGCAGAGTCTTGATGCGCCACATGGAGTTGACGTTGAAAACCACAATGGATGCGGAGGAAGTCGTACTATTTTATTAATAATTGTGTCGTTACATATTGAAATCAAGTAATAAAATCGATGCCTGCAAATAAGTCAGCCTGGTACGGATACTGTATCCGGTAAAAAGTGATGCTTTGGCATCGTCACGAACGACGTCGTTTCGAAAAAGCCGATGGAAGACCTGGACGACGAGCCCTCACTCCATGCCGACGAGAATGGCTTGATCAACCTCAGTCAAGGTGCGTGGGTCCGACTGGACGAGGTCATTTGGTCGCAAGGGGATCGGCTCTTGACTCTGATCGTGGAAGCCAACCAGTTGGTCGAACTGCCGGCCGCCCTCGGCAACCTCGCGCTGTTGCGTGTGCTAAACGTAGCCCACAACAAACTCACGTCCATCCCAGACGAGATCGGACAATGCGCTCAACTGCTCGAGCTCAACGCACAGCACAACTTCATCAAAGCCGTTCCAAAAGGTACGTGGCTCAGTCGTAAGTATGACGGCTCGAACCAAACCCTTGGACAGGTATCCAAAGGTGTGTGAGGATAGAAAAGCTCCTGTTGAGCTACAACAACCTCAAGACTCTGCCTCGGGAGATGCACAAGCTGCACGAGATCCACACCATCGACGTCCGGTTCAACCAGCTCACGACGTTGCCCGAAACGCTCAGCGAGTGCCCGAACCTGACGACCCTCGCCTGCGAAGGCAACAACGACTTGGTGCAAATTCCAGAATCCCTGCGCGACAATTCTCGGCTGGTGCTGTGGATCTTGCAGCGCCTTCGAGGTACTACTGAACACTTAGCAATCTGCTTTCACATGATTCTTCTTCGTGCTCATTCATCTCTGCATTAGAACACGCGGCGGAAATCAAGTACATCACCGACATCAACAACAACCTCGAACAAGCCGCGCGCCTCGCCGACGACGAAAAGCTCAAACTCAAAGAAGAGATCTTGCGCCTTGAGCGAGACAAGCAGCTGCTGTGGAGCGAACGACCTGTCCATTACCTGAAACTCAAAGGCCATGTCAAGAATGCCGCCGCCAAGACGGCCAAAACCACCAGCGAAGTGTGTCTGCTCATGTAAAGACAGTTCCAAACACCTTGTTATAACGTTACTGGTAACTACTACTACGTAGTAGTACTATAACGTTAGTACTTGCGTACGACATAACTTAGTCTTATTGTCCTTTGACCCAAAATGTGGTTGACTGTTGTGCTGATTCTTTGCCAACTCCATCGATCGATTCGTTGTCCTGACTTTTGTATGTAAAGATCGTCCAGTAACGTTACCACACTAAATTAATCCCACACTAATTCGATTTTGTGTGAATTGGTCCAAAAATGGATTTGATTGGCTACTTGATTTTCGTGTTGTGGGTTTTGATTGGTCGTATATGGATTACCTGCGGATATATTTGGTTATTCTGCTCATTCAATTGAGAGCACTCGAATTTCAAATATATCGACTTGACAATACAAAATAGCAAAACACAAGACATAGCAAGGTAGCTAAGCTGCTGCATCAATCTGGTAGCACGTTGGCTTCTGGATTAGGTTATACCAAGCTCCTCTTCCGCTCTGCTCTACAAACCAAGAACATCACTCTCACAAAAAGCGACGCGCTTGGCGGCACACACACACACATACATTCCCACTCGGGCCCCGCAGATTCCACCAACCGTATCGCAGGTGCGTGTGTCGGTTTCTCGTAGCAGGCCCATCGAAACGACTGTATGGGACCAGCCAGTCAGCGCTGCCGTGGCGAATGTCGATGTCTCCTTCGTCATCTTTCATATCCCCGACATGCTTATCGTCCACTGCGGTACCCGCGGCCGCCAGGCCCCCCGCGTCCGCCGCGCGTAGCCGGCGCCGGCTGCTGGGGAAGGGGGGGCGGCGGGGGGCCCACGCCCACGATGGACGTCCGCTTCGTATCTAAAAACGACTCCAACGACCCCCACGACGCGCCCCGCCCCGTGGGGTTGGCCACAATGTACGAGCTGCTACTGTTTTGGTCGCGACGGGGGGGTTTGACATAGTGCCGAGTCGTGTGGTTTGGCGGCGGCGGCGGCATGCCCGTGATGTCGTCGTTAGTGTCGTCAAAGTAGTTCATTTCGTCGCGCTCGACGCCCAGCAGCACGAGCCGCTTGAGCTCGGACTGCTCCTTCTTGCCTGCATCCTCCTGGCGCTGGCTGTGCTGGGCCAACGACGTCGCTTGAGGTACGAGGATTTCGCGTGCTTCCAACTTGCCCTTGTTGCCTCGTTTGAGCAGCCGAAACACCACCGCCGAGTCGGCTTTGGCATCGGTGTCCACGTCGACATGATGGGTCGTCTTGACCACTGTGGGAATGGCCATCTTGTCCACGTTCACACGCGGAATGTGCTTGCGCGAGTCGGCGCTGCTCTGCATCATGAGCTTGAACGCCTTGTCAAACTCCAAGTCTTCTTCGACTTTCGACTCGTGCTTGACGATGATCTGCTCGTCTTCGCTGTCTTCGCCACTGTCGTCGTCGTCGTCGTCGTCGCTGCTGGACGTGGCAACGTCGTGCAACACATCATGCGCCTCTTCGTCGTCGTCGTCGTCATCGTCGTCGTCGTCGCCGCTGGACGAACGATCGTCATTGTCGTTGTCGTGGTCGTCCGACTCTTCGGGTATCGCTAAAACGTGGCTCGATTTGTTCTTGAGCAATCGCTTTTCTGCTTGGAGCAACTCGACGCCCCATATCGCATGCGCGACCGCGTCCACTTGTTCCCACGAGTCGTACCGCACTACTTTTTCTAATGCACAAATATATATATATTATATATATAGTACAATTGATGTTTTGATCATGAATACATGCGTCAACATATATATATATATATATAGCACGCAACGGAATTGACGGAAGTCTATATACACAAGGGGTGGAACACGTGGTTTAATTCGACAATACGCGCAAAACCATACTAACCCTTGTCAATATTTTTTAAAAAATATTAAAAAAATACAGGCTGTCGTCAGAATTCATATAGAAAATATTCAAAAAATACAGGCTGTCGTCAGAATTCATGTGGATTGTATATATATATATTTTTACCCTTGGCGCCCAGCAATTCCAACGTATCGAGCACGACAAACTCGGTTTCGAGTGGAATTTCGGCCTTGGCCAGCAAATATCGTTGAAAAAATACCAAAAATCGCTCCAATTTTTTCTTGGTGATGCCTCGATCAAAGTTTGACCCGCACGTTTCCAGCAATGAACACACCAATCGCACCCGAAACACATTGCGGTCGTTGTCTACGTCCGACGGCACCCGTGGGTCAAACCTATCGCACGTTATCAATAAAAAAAAAAAATATAAATATATATAGCCACGAGCGTCATCATATCCAAGGTGTATATAAGTTTTGGGGGGTACGATGACGTACTTCATGTCTGGCACGACCGCAATACGTCGAAGTAAGTCGTCTGGGAGAGGGGTATCGAGCGTGGTCATGTCATGGGAGTGGTGCAGCATCCAATATAACATGTCGAACACCACCACGGACGTGACCAGCTGATGGTTGTACAGCTCCCCAAGCAGCTTAACCAGACCGAGATGGCGCTGGTGATACTTGTAGTTGTTGAGTGTCAAGTGATAATGAATTGACTCGAGCACCGTGTCCAAGATGTACACACCCAATTCTTCGTGGTACCTACCACCAAGAGACACAGTCATTACTATTGTTTATATAGTCTAAACTGGAGCCACATGAACGAATATATACATGGACACAAGGATTGAGCCAATCAGAGCGCAGGAAACCATCGACTTGAATTCGAGTGATATACCACATCACACCCTGTTTACAAACGACAATCAATCAATCGATAGATTTGGCGATTCAGCATAAATGTCCACATTTTGGGTAAATAGAAAATATTATCCACACAAGTAACGGAGAACGTGTACAACGGGACACTGAATCCTCATATATTAGGAAAAAACATAGTATCAAGTGTTGAAGGTAATACATATTGAATGGTAAATATAAATAAGCACTTGATGGACCAACAACGACACTGGTCCTGCTACCAAAAGGAAGGATAATACTATATATCCATTCATATATATTCTAGCACACCACGGTCTCCACGAGATATACACAAAGCAACCTAATAAATATTATAATAATTAGGTTGCTTTCTTACAAAACCAATATTGATTAATATATATATATATATATATATATATACAATATTTCTTCTTGGCACCAAGATACATAGTTGAATTTAGAACACTGTCAAGACACTCGAATCCCCAGCAAATATTTCACACTTGACTAATACTGCACTCTACATGTGATATCAACAAGGGATGGTGTTCAAACAAGTAGACGACACTGTCCTCAACTACAGTGTACATAAATATATATATATATGTGCCCACACTTGTTGTATAGTAGTTGTCTATGCATCCCATAACCAGAGGTTTCAAGTGGTCAGTACTAGTACTAGTAGTACCTCGAGAGCCCGACAACGATGTCACACACAAGTGCCATGTGCAGCACTTGGGCGGTGGTGACTTTGAGCACGGCTTTGATAAACCAGTGGGTGGTCTGGGGGTCGTCCCAGTCGAACTTGCGACAGAGGCGCACGACCTTGCCGACGCTGTCCGGGGCCAGCTCTGTGTAGAGCAGATGGAGCATGAACAGGTACACCGGATCTTTCGGCTCTTTCACGCGGGTGACCACTTCGGGCGGCTTGCACATGTAGTAAGCATTCTGCACGAGCGTATCCGCGAGGGGATCGAGATGTTTGGCTGCTTTCAGGCGCATCATGATCTCCAGACACTGCGCCGTGCGGACATGGGTGTACTTGGAACAGTACAAAAATCTACCCCATCGATATGAGAGATTGGGGGGGGGTACTGTATGTAGGGGGGGGTAGCGTACCGCCCGCACGTTTCGAGAAACGTGGTCGCAATCACCACGTTGTGGCCTTGAAAGTCGGCAAAACACCGTCGCAGACACCGAAACCCGACCATCGGCGGCGCCACTTTGAACTTGGTGAGTTCGCCCACGAACCGAATGTTCTTGACCTTGGATTCGAGGCGGTACTGGTTTTTCTTCTTCTGAAAGTAATTAAACTCTTGTACGAGCAGCTCCACGAGCGCCCCGCCCACGTCGTCCTTGAGCACGCTGTCCAGCGTGGCTAGTAGACGACTGTAGTACGGCAGTAGCTCCAAATGTGTGCGCGGCACACTGTACAGCGTGTTGACCAATCTAATCCAAGAAGTACAATACACGGTCACATGTATTGTTTATATGACTTTGCTTGTCAAACAATCAAAATCACGCAAGAAATCGATGTGGAATGGTGGCAGCGAGAATGAATATGATTGGCCACTTGATTCGTGTTCGTAGGAGAATCGATTAAAGAACCGCCTGAGCCAATCAAATCATGTCAAGTCGAATTTCTGCCAATCCAAACGTTTGACCCCTCTGCACTGGGCAAAACCGATATATACTAATATTTGTATGGTATAGTGTGTACAAGATTAAATAGGATCAAATCGAAAGCTATTTGGCGAAATGACTCTCAAGTCCAAATTTGGGTGAAATTCACAATATCATTCCAAAACAGTTGGGCCAAATATCACAAACTATGCGCATTGCACCCAATATATATATATATCTTGCAACAATCGTATCCAAACTATCATGTATACGTATATTTGGGGAACAACCTTCAAATCCTAAGTATAGAATTACATATATATATATAGCTTCAAATAGAATAATAATATATATATATATCACGTATACGTATATTTGGAGAACAACCTTCAAGTCCCCAGTATATAATTACATTTATATATATATATAGCTTCAAATAGAATAATAATATATATACATTATGTATACATATATTTGGAGAACAACCTTGAAATCCCTAGTATAGAATTACATTTATATATATATATATATAGCTTACCTGGAACATATCAATACATTCCAGGTAAGCCAAACAATATTGAATCCACCATAGTATACACACCTTGTGCGAGTGGCCTTGGTGTTTCGATAGCAAAAGTCCACGGCGGCCTTATCGCATCGATCCCGACTGATCATGTCCTCCAACGATGCAAAGAAAGCGTCCATCTGGTGATGATATGATGCGGCTGCTTTTGTTTCATTGGGCAGCTTGGGGTCTTCGTCCGAGGTTTTGGGGCCGGGGGCTTCAGAATCCGCCGCGTCTGCATCGTCCACACCCGACGTCGGCGGCAGATCGTCGACCATCACTCCTTCGTCCTCCTGGACGTCCGCCGCGGCGGCTTCCGCTTCAGCCAACGACGATGACGATGCTTTCTTGAGCTTCAAGTCGGCCACTTCGGCCTCTGTGAGCCCCAGCACCACCGCCGGCACGAGCTCCAGCAAGTCGGGCAGGTCCTCGTAGAATGACCGCGTGTCCTCGTCGTCAAACGGTCCGTCGGCGTGCAGCTCTGCCCGCCCCTCGCCGCCGTCCCACAGAAGCAGCTGCGCCAAATGCGCATCGTCCGAGTTATCTACGGGAAGGATTGGCATGGGGCGTTGCAGCGCCTCCGATAGCGTCGTGATGCTTCCCGTGAGCTTTTCGCAGAGCACGGTCGCGGCCGCCAAGTCGGCCACGTGCTCGTCGCACAGCTCGCCGCGGTTGACTTCTTCTTTCATGTTGCGCTTCTCCATTTTGCGTACGGTCTGGTGCTGGCTGATGTACATGGCGGCGATCATGTCGAATGCTTGGTCGAACAGCGCGCGGAACTGCGTTTGAACCGAGATTGGTATCACTGCGATGGTGGAGCCGCCAGCAGCGTCCGAGACGCCGCCAAAGAAGTCGGCACCGGCGTACTTGGCGAAACTGACGAGCAACGGAATGTCCAGCGGAGGCTGCTTGCTGCTACTACTACCTTGAGTAGACGACGACGCTTGTTTCTTGGACGGCTTTGCATTCAAGTCTTCGCGGGTGACCACGGCATGGATGATGCTGTGGATGACCGACACGTCGGCCAGCACACCCACAAAGAAGAGCTCGGTGAGGATACGCAATGTCACCAAGCGACGCTTGATTTGACGCTGCTTGGAGGAGGCGTCGACGGGAGGAGCGGCGGGCGGCGCGAACGCCGCCGCGCAGTATGCCTGGACAAGCGGGTCCGTGATGTCCGCCACGCCGTAGCGCTGGTGCAACGAGCTGATGAGGTGGATGTGCGACGACACTTCGCTAGGCTTGAGGGCGCCGGCAGCTTCCACGAGAGAGACCACGCACTCGCTCAGGTACCGCGTCAAGTTGAGCTCGCCAACATCCTTCAAGCACGCTGACAGATTCGCATCCCCAAGAACCTTGAGTTTCTTCACCAACGCGCTCGACTTCTTCAGGTCGCTCTTGAGCTTGACTTTTCCCGTGGAAATGGCCTTTTGCAGCTCTGCGCATGCATCGGGGTGATTCTGCTGCCGCAGCGTCTCGCGCAACGAATCTTGCATCTTGCGGTGGAGGCGTTGATGGCTGGTGTTTTAGAAGTCGATGGTCCCAAATTTTATAACTTATTTCCAAATTTGTTTATAACATTCAAGTGTATCCATCATATTTTAATTGAACATTTTAAATTCGGAATTTGAATCCCGCATCCCCTGACGCGACCTTTAGACGAGCTATGTGCCGGCGGAACCTTACAAGAGCTCGGCCACAAGGGTGCGCTCGTTGATGGTATTGGCATGCAGCCACCTGACGTCATATGCTCCGAATGCCTGCCCAAGCTCTGTTTGGACATCCTGTACCGCGAGTTGCACGGCCGCCTCTGTCGGACGTCGGCCGAGTTTCAATGTGAGGATGACTTTGGCATGTGGATGGAGGAAGGCCATGACGGAGCGAATCAACTTGGCCATCGAACGGGGCCGCACGTTGATGTCGCAGACGCAAACATGGAACTTGTCCATGGTGGCTAAAATGGGATGCGCTGCTTCCACCAACATGTTCAGGTGGATGATGGACACCCCATCCACAGGAATCGTTAGCATCCCTGGATCCACCGCCACCACACAGGACGCGCCAGAACTTGACAGAAACTCAGTCCAGCCGCCCTACATTATTATTGTCCATAAATCGATCATACAGTAGTCTTCCATTGATCGTACCGGCGATGCGCCGATGTCTAGGGCACGGAAATAGCCCCGTGGAGGAAGCAGCGATACCGAGCCACCGCGGCAAGCTTCTTGGAGCTTAAAGTACGCCCGACAAGGAACTTGTGAGTGTAACGACGGCGAGACTTCTGGTGATATGGCCATGCATGATGATGGTCGCTCCATCGCTGTCGTGGGGTCACGAGTGCTTTTGGTTCCTGCCGCCGACACACCGTAATAAAAGGATGGGCCAGCTAGAGCCGAGGACACGACATGCAGTTCGTGCGAGTGTTGCCTGGGGTGGGTCGCGTATCCGTAGTCGTGCAGCAACTGGACAAGCTTGTTTTGGAGGTGGCTCGGGTACGCCACCACGCGGAACACGCTGCTGCGTTGGTGGGAGGTGAGCAACGCACTCTGGGGTATCCACGCTGGATCGTGGCACATGCTTGTGACGGTGTAGACGCGATGGGCGGCGATGCGGCCGCGGCTGCACAAGTCCTCCACGCTGTCCTTCGTGTCAAGGCCGTCGCATTGAACGAACAGAAGCGGGCTGTCTATTACGACCACCTCAAGGCCGCCGCCATGAGTAGTGTTGCCAGCCGTCACTAGCTTGGACCGAAAGCGCTCCACTTGCGTGGCTTCTACATGCACCACGACCAAGTGCTTGTCAGGACGGCATGCAATGGCCATCATGCCAATCACTCGGTGGGGCAAACCTGTTCGTATGCATGATTGGCTTAATATACAACACACTGATTGGATGAATATTTTATTTGTGACACTTCAAATTGACGTTATGTACTGTGCACTGTGTATATGTACCGTATACTAGTGTATACTGCGACGGATTAATCTATTACGACTCCTGTAATAACTGATACTTTTCTTGTAATAACTGATATTTACTTGTGAACATGTTGAATATACTTCAAATTTGTATGACGCAATGGATTAATGAGAACGAGTGTCGGCTGGTTGTGAAATATCACCTGTCGCAATACATATACAGTATACGGTATGTATATTCGATACTTCCAGGCCCAGTCGAATCCAATCTCGCCGCCGAATCGAATCACGAATCGACGCTATTGGCTAATCCATTTTTGAGTGGATTTGATTGGCTCTTGAAGAAAGGACAAGTATATTCAACCAATCAGAACTCCGGCGTGATTCAATATTGATTAGACAAACCACGCAAATACTAGTAATTTTGAAGGTTAACGTAAGAGCGAATTCACAATAAGGCGGCGGCGCCATATTTTCTTTGGCGGCAATGTGCTTTGAACGCGATTAACAGTGTAAATTCGCGTAATGTTATGCTCATATACGTTCCTAACGTTATTACAGTTGTATCTTATGCTCATCATATACGTTCCTATTACAATAGTATGGACAATATCAACGGCCAATACCTTGTCGCCGCTATGATCACGACTACTAGTATTTGGGTTGCAATGTGTGTAGTGGTAGGTAGGTACAGCTTAACGACTTCAATGGAAGCGTGCATGCGATGGTTTGTTATTGTGTTTACGACTTGCTTCGAGCTGGCTTTCGCATCGAGTTGTGCGCTGTGGAACGTCGCTGCAGTTCATCGCTGCACGCTTTGGCACGGCACTCCAAGAGCGCTTCCAACACGGCGACCTTGGCCTTCCCGTCTCGCTCCACCCTTGACCGACAAATCAGCTACAGCAAAACCGCTCCTCATTCACCATGTTCCCTTCCACGGCACCAGAACATTCGTCGTCCTAATCAAGAACAATCGAATTATCATCTTCGTACATCAATTTCTTCGTCGCGCTCGTCACGGATGGCTGTCAGGTGTGCGGCCAACTCCTGCTCCAGCCCTTTACACTTTTCCTCTAGCTGGCTCATCTACAAATGATTGGGTCCCACGCTGAGATGGCCATGATACACACAACTCCACCTAACAATGCAAAGGAAATCCATCGCGTAATTGAACCATGTTGATTACCATGGATGTGTACTTGGCTTTGTCGTCGGCAAGGTCTCGTTGCAGGCGTGCCGTGTGCTCGCAGCGCATGTTCTGCACGCGCTTCAATTCTGCATGCAGATCCTGCAACTTGGCTTCATATGTGTCCTTCATGGCTTTCATTTCCTTAGCCAAAGCCGCAGCATACGAATCGCTTTCGATCTCCGGGGACTGGTGCTGATGGAGCTTGTCGGCCACTGCCACGGTCCGTTGGCCGGCTGCAATGGCGTCTGAAAATGGGGATTGCTTCCTATGGGCCATGGCAGGCCGCTTCTTAGCTGCCGCCGCATGCTTGGAGGAAGAAGGCCCCCCCTTCATCAACGACTCCATCTCGTCCAGTCGTTCTTTCATGTGAAGGAGCTGCCAGTCAGCGTCGTCGCACTGCCCTTGCAGCCGTTGCCATTGGGCTTGTGCCTCTGCCCACTCGTGTTTGGTCATACTGTTTCTTGACTCGTTGCTGGGAACGTTCGTGAGCAACTCCAGCTGCAACTTCAACCTGTCGTTCAAGCGCGTCACGACTTGTTGGAGCAGTTGCTTTTCCTCCATCAAATTCTGGGTCGCCATGTCCAAATCCAACAGTTGTTCTTGCACCACTCGCTTTTCCATACCGAGGCGGTCGTTCAGCCGCGCCTGTTGCTGCAGTCGGCTTTCACTACCACAAAACAACATTCATTCAATGGGTACATTCCTCGGATATGCCGAGTAACTCTTACGTGGCTGCCATGTCCATAAGCTGGCATTCGTCTTTCGCTGCGTCAAGTTGCCGTTCCAACTCCGCGACGGACGCCCGTGCAACCGCCAGTTGATGGCCGGCGTCGACGTTACTGGCTTCCAACACCCGCACCGCCAGCTCAAGCTGCAGCATCTTGTCGTGTTGGACTTTTAACGACATTAGATCTTCCTCCTTTTTCTTACTCAAAACATCCACTTGCTCCTTCAATCCTCGTACTTGTGCCGCCAGTTCGTCGTTGTGTTGATGCAGTTGCCGGCACTCGGCGTCCCAGTTCCGTTTCGACGCTGGCGCTTTGTGCTGCTGCAGTTCCTGCAGCTCTTCCGTGAGTCGCGCTATGGCCGCCGCCGCGCGCTTCTCGCGGGCTTCGAATGCATCTTGATCCGCCTCGCGCTGGCGCTTCCTCTCGGCCAGACACAAATTGGCCGTCTCGAGCTCATCGGCGACGGACTTTGCCTGCGTCACCACGTGGTGGACGCGGTCGCGCTCGGCTTGTAGCTCGAGGTGGAACTTTTCGCGCTCGGCGTCCAGCTTGGCTCGTGCCTGGGCCAACGCATGCTCCAACGTGGCAATCTGCTGCAGCCACGTCGTTTCCATATCATGACGCCATGCGATCTTCGTTTCCGACACAGCCAGCTTGAGCTGCAGGTTGGCCGCGTCCAGCGCGTGCACTTGACGCTCTACCGTTTCGAGTGCCTTGGACTTTTCTTCAAGCCGGACAGACCAGTCAGTGGCTAGAGTGCGGCTGCGAGTTTTCTCCGCCTCCAGGGCTTCGTTTGCCCGGGAGAGTTGATCCAATGTGGCAGAGTGCTCGTGGGTTGCCGCTAGTCGTTCTGTATCCCAGGCTTGTTTGTCGGCACTGAATGCGTCTGCCTGCGCCGCCAGCGCCCGCCCGTGCGACGTCTCCATCACGTGCAGTTGCATTTGCTGGGTTTGTTCGACTTCGGCCAATCGGGCTTCCCATTCGTGCTGCAGACGAAGCTGAAGCTGGCGCGCGGCTTCGCCGACGACGTCGAGCTTCGACATGTACGAGACTTGGGCCTGGTGGATTTGGGTTTTTGCGTCCGCCGATGCTTTTTTCAGCTGAGTGTTGGTGGTTTCCAGGTCGGATTCCAACGATAGAATTCGAGATCGTCCCAGGTCCAGCTAGTATGTCATGGATGAGTATATAATACTAGTACATTTATGCATAACTTGTGACAGGGTTGTATTGTCATGAATGATGGTGATGTCAACCTGGGCTTGTAGAGATTGAACGGTGGTGACGAGTTCATTGCAATGAGCGTCGGACTTTTCAAACGATAGACGCAGCGCTGCACAGGTCGTTTGCGACCCCTGCAACTACTCCATACATTTTTGCGTTGGATTGTGTGGCTCCATAACAAATACTAAGCGATCGAAGTACCTCGTTTGATAGATTAAGTTCGACATCTTTGGCAGTAACGTGCTCCTTGGTGAGCTTCGTGTGCGCAGTCTGCAATTCCGCGTGCTGGGTTTCCAATGTGGTATACTTCTCCTCCAATGCTTGCATCTGTTCGAGGATGCCTGCACATTTAGTAGGTTCTGTCTTGTCATCTGGGGATGCTGAAGTGTCTATTGGGTTAGCATCCTCAACATGAGCTATCGAGCCTCCAAGTCGGTGCATTTCAGAGCGAAGGAAGGACCAGCCGTGTCCAGGGCCCCGCACCTACATACACCCCGAACCGTTGAAAGTAACGACATCACTGTATTGCCGTACCTTGTCTAGCGTATCCTTGAACAGCACAATGTCGTTGTGGGCGTCCGCAAGTTGTCGACGAACTTCCATCAACTGCGTCTGCACGCATTCCTTCTCTGCTGCCTCCGTTATACATTTCTTCTGGATCATCTACAATGTACATAGTACATACATATCATACACGAAGGACATTTCATATTGATCACAACTGACCTCTGCTCGTCGGGAAAGCGACAAAAAGTGGTGCAAGTACACTGTTCCCGCGTCGTTGCCACCCCCACTTATGTCATCGATAGAGTTTCCAGTTGTAGCGCCGTGGCTGCCCACGAGTGTTTTGGAGATAAGCTGCGTCAAGCTATCAGACAGCAAGTGCTCTAGCGTAGCTTTCACATGATCTAGCTGGTCGTTGGCCTGCAGTTGGGTAGCCAGTGCGAAGGCAGCTCGGACGTGTGCTGGCAGCGGCACACTGTCGCGTCGAGTCAACAGGTGATTTGGTGTGGTGGATAAGAAGGAGGACGGTGGCGATGCCGAGTCTGTACAAGCCAGAAGGAAATGGATGGTCTGAATGTCTTGCTTGAGTCGACGGATGTAGCCGACGCCTCCATCGTCACTCACTCGACTTGTCAAGTCCAATTCGGTATTCTCCGGTCGCTCCGTCCGTGGCGTCGATGTGGCTAAGTGTGTGTCTTGCATTAGAGAAGCAAACGATAGCATTTGTACGTGATTGCGGGGACGAAGTGTCGTGGTTACGTGGATTGTTATTGGTAAGTGATGTTCGTTTGGTCGCAGAGGCTGTGCTTGGACGAAGCTTGAGCGTAGGGACTGCCACGTCATCGCCTACAACCCACAACAGCATCGGAACAATGCCACCAAGTAGTATCGTACCTCGGAGAGGGGGAGCTATGTCGTTATCTGGAGGGAATTCAGCGGTGATATTTGGTTTTAACGGTGCACTGTGGAAGGTCAAACTGGTCGACTTGACCGCGGACGCCGTGCTGGGGCGAACTTTGTGCACCACGGCCACCATGTTCTTGGGAAATGTGTCGCGGGGGGTGACAAATAGTCCTGGGGGGGAGGGGGTAGTTGTTGTCGCCACGTTGGGGCTACATGCACTGTACATAGGTTAATGGATTGGCAATCAACCTCCAAGTCAATGGCTTACCGTTTCACGTCGGACGACACGGCCGTGTGGTTGGTGCGGGAGGTTATGTTGTGTTTGGGCTTTGTGGGAAACAGTCCTTGTGGTTGGTTGGGCTGGGATGCTTTGCTGCGACAGATTGAAGGATGAGCAATCATCGTGGCAGTACCGTACCTGGATGCTGGATACAGGAAGGCCACTTGAGGGGGAGCATTTGACTGCTGCGAAGGCTTCCTTCTCGGCCGTCCGTACTGCTCCATCGCGCTTTACTCGACTTTCGTCGGCCAGCGATGGCAGTTGCTCGTAAAGTGAAACCGTTTCGGGATGATGTAACCGGTAGTGACTTTGATCGTGGCTACAATCACGTAGTAGTACATTACAGTACTAGTAGTATGCAATAATTCACATGGAAATGAAGCCTGCAAAACATCGTTTGCTACAACGTAGTGGTAACTTGCATCGTAGTTCACATGACGGGTTAGACTTACACAGTAGTGTAGCCAGAAAAAGGACAGAAACTTTCGTAGCTGTCCACGTCACAAACACGTAACGGCTGCTTATTGGCCAGGGCCCGAACTGTAGCTAATGTCTTGCTCTAGTGCTCTTATGAACGTGTGTTCGCCATTGTTGTCAATGAATATATTTACAAGGTATCCATGAATTTATTTCCAAGATATCAATGAATATCCTTGAACCCTCCCCATCGACACGCCCACAAAATTGCGCGCACCGCAGCGTAGCGGAGGTCGTGTGTATAATTTTGTTCAGGCGGACGAGTGAGCCCCAATCGTGCACTTCACCGAATGTCCAACTTACCAATTTTCATTTGATTTCAAAGAATGGGCATATCTCCGTCCTGCTTCACCATTTTCAAATTCTAGTCCTAAAGGTAGAGAATTCCCAGGTGAACAACCACCCATAATTAAGTTCTTATGACGAGGCTTGGAGTCGTTGGAAACGCTATAGACGCGGAACCTCTATAATTTGAGTGCCAATTGAAGTCGTATATTTAACCTTCCGTTTTGTATGTAATTATGAATAGAAATTTAGAGGTTCACTGTATGATTGGTGTATATTCAAATAACGATCAATGATTGGTGCATTTTAGTACGACCTCTGTGGTACAACTATTCGCATTTAATGCGAAAATACAGTACTTGTCCGTACTATTAAATGCTGATCGTTCTTATGCGGATGTATACAATACACAAATATGTCCAATATATTCCGTTCGGACAAAATATGTTCCCTTAAGTCCAATACAAATGTCAAGTATGTCCGACTGAAATTGTCAAAGTGCCTCATATTTACCCATATCATAACCATATGCGATACAGTGCACTGCAAGACTAAAAATTGAACTAACCATGAGCTTGGTCGGGACGTTGATTAGTAGTACTAGATGTTGATTAGTAGTATTAGTAGAATGAATCGGAGGAAATCTATCTAAAATGCGAGCGACACCAGGGCGGCGATCGTGACCACGAACGTCAAGTACAAGAACACTGTGGAGAACGTCGTGGAGCTGACCAACGGCAGGCCATATGGAGTCAGGACCGCCAGGTCCGAGTGAAACGTGCGCTCGCAGTACTTGATGCCGATCACTTGGAACCAGCACGGGATGATGAGGCCGAGCGCAAACCCAAAGAAGCCAGCAAAGGTGAAAATCGCGTCCAGTTTCTTGAAGATAGCCGCAAGGACCAGCGGCGGCACGGCCGCGATCAGGCGCGACAAGGTGCGGGCGCGGGACGGACCCAACGGCGCCGTCCATGCCTTGGGCAGCGACGTCAAAATGTTGCCGCCCACAGTCAGCCCCACCATGGGGTACGTGGACGTGACATTCACCACGGGGAACATGAGAACCACAATGTGCACGATCGATCCGATCCACGTCGGCTTGCCAGATGGACATGCTGTCCATCCGTTGCCGCAGCCCGTGAAGTCGCTCCACATCAAACTCGCCAGCGGGTTCACCGTGTCGAACGAGATGGCGCCTAGCACCCCCAGCAGCAGGTAGAACACGGCGGAAATGGTCATCGCGCCAAATGTGATCAAGCGGGCCTTGGACTTCTCCGTCGCGTGCAGCGGTTGCAGCGCATCGGGCATGTTGTACTGGCAGTTGAGCGCCAACAGGGTCGGGCCGAACCCGGCGCTGAAGTTGTGCCAGTTGAACGCCCATGCTTCGCGGGATGCCACGCGGTCTGCGACGACGTCGTACGTAAGCTTGATGAGCAGCGTCACAAGCATCACAAAGAGCGCGACGATGCGGTACACGGACAGGAATTTCTGGATCGTGGCTTGGTCTCCCAGATCCATGAGCACCATCGAGATCGCAACCACAGAGAAGAGCACCATGCTGACGTAGTACATGTCGACGCATGCGACGGTCGCGTCGAGCGCGTACGCATCGCACGAGTCGTCCCACGCGTACGTGAACACCATGGACGCGATGGACGACGCAAAGATGGACGCGTAAGACCAGAGGGATCCAAGGCAGTAGAGCACCAGCACCGTCTGCACGATGCTGTATCCCATGCTCCCGGCAAAGATGTCGCCGATCACGCTGAAGTCGATCTTGCGGTACGTGAGGCGGTTGTCTGGCAGCGTTCCCTTGGGCGCGGACACGACACCTTCGGCACGGGCCATGGTTTCCAACGTGTAGTTCATCGTGATGAGCGCTCCCACGAATCCAAGCACGAGGAAGATGGTGGTGAGGCCCAGCCCGGCGGACGCAAACGCAAAGGGAAGTCCAAAGCACCCCGTGCCGATCATGTAGTTCAGAGTCATGGCCACCGCCACGACGGTGCCGTACGGGCGGACGCCCATGGCGGCGGCATCCAAAGGGTCCAACTGCGGGTGGTCCGCAGACCGGCTGCGCTGCTTCACAAGCGAAATTTCCATCGGTCGTGGGGGCTGGTGACAGACAGAGAGTGCGTCGAGAAATGGCATTCAAAGCAAGCCCATAAGCCATGGACGGTGAATTTTCCATTAAGTGCGAATGTCGTGACAGAATTGCACGGATACCAACACGACGTGTAAAGATCGTACTTACCAGAACACCCGTTGCAACCACGGACTTTAGCGGGAAGTTTCCACGGATTTTTGTCGCAAAAGCGTCGTGTGAATGTGCTCGGTGTGAAGGGAGGCTGGGGGCAGGGGGGTACAGTACGGACACGTACACAAAGGTCGAGGTCACAGTCAGTTCAAGTTACAGTCAGTACGAGTTTCAGTCAGTTCGAGTATGTACAGCTACGAATGAAAGCCACCCTACATACTATTAGTACTGTACTACTTACTACCTACATCATTCCAAACCTCTCACAACGACACACTGGTTGGGTGCGGTGTTGTGGTTTGTGTCGTTGCGTGACACAACCACACAAACCATATCGTATGCGTCACTGCCTCATATTCCTACTTACCATATATATATTCCACCTACTATATAGTATGGTTTGATCGTGACAGTAGTTACCAGACTTTGAGCTGAAGGTGACACTTGACAAGAGTGATATATTCTGGTCACAAGCTTTGTGTCCATCAAAGTGTGATGTGGAAGTGTGGATGTCAGTGTGTGGAAATGTGACTTTCACATTTCTCCACATCACAGTTGATGGAGGTACACTGTCCTGTAGATGGACACCGACACCATGTCAATACTGTAGTACGGTATTACTATAGTACACTGTACTGTAGTACGTCGAGTAGATTTCTTTACCGCTGGACCAGTATCGACACGGTGGCAACTGCCGTGGCCAGCAGCATCACACTCAGCACGACCGTTGCAGTTGCCACAGAACTAAGGCATGAAATAGTGTACGGAGTGTGGCTCGGTTGGTCGTGGGCAAATCGGCGGCAGGCGGAGATGCCCACGACTTGGAACCAGCAAGGCACGACAAGGCCAATGACAAACCCAAAGAGCCCTGTGACGGTGAAGATGTCGTCGAGGTTCTTGAACACGGCGGCGAGAACGAGGGTCGGGAGGACGGCGAGCATGCGGGCGACTTGAACGGCGCTGGAGGGGCCGAGTGGGGCGCTTGGGAAGCGCCGACAAGAGGTTGCTGGCTAGCGTGAGGCCACACATGGGGTAGCTAGACAGGATGTTCACGACAGGAAACATAATGACAATGATATGCACGGCGGAGCCTAGCCACGTGGAGGTTGGTGGTTTGCCAGGCACAGAGGAGGATGAGCATGGGTGCCATCCGTTGCCGCAGCCGGTGAAGTCGCTCCACATGAGACTCGCGAGGGGGTTAACATGGTCGAACGCTAGCGCCCCGAGAATCCCCACGAGAAAGTAAAAGACACACCCAATAACAATGGCCACGAACGCTACTTGCCTCGCATGCTGTTTCGACGATAACGGTTGCATGATGTCTGGCATGTTGTGATGGCAATTCAGCGCCAAGATGGTAGACCCAAACGCGAGGCTGAAGTGGGCAAACGAAGATGTGGTTCTCACGTCCCGCGCCAATAGCCGCGCTTGGATGGCGCCCCAGCCGTCGACGTACAGCTTGAAGGACATCGTTCCCACCATGAGCGAAAGCGCCACGATGCGGTAGATAGTGAGGAACTTCTGGATGCGTGCTTGATCTCCCATCTCCATGAGCACCAGCCCCACCACGAGAATGGAGAAGACAAACATGCTCGCCAAGTAGGCAGCTGTGCAACCAGACGTAGCATCGAACGCGTAGGCGTTGCAGGTGTCGCCCACAACGACGTATGTGTAGAACATGGACGCACAGGATGAAGCAAAGATGGATGCAAAGCTCCACAAACAGCCGAATGAATACAGCACGAGCGGGATTTGGACGATAGTGTACCCTGTTTGGCCAGCGAAGAGGTGCCCGATGCAGCTAAAGTTGTGTCGCCGATACGTGAGCCGATGATGGGTGGGATGATGAGTTGATGATAGTCCTTCCGCGCGTGCCATGGCCTCCAGCGTGTAGTTCATTGTCACGAGGGATCCCACGGTGCCAAGAAGGAGGAGCAAGGACGTGAGACTGATGCCAGCGGACGCAAAGGCGAAGGGCAGACCGAAACAGCCCGTTCCAATCATGCAGTTCAACGTCATGGCCAGTGCAATCACACGACCATAAGGACGGACACCCATGACGGTGGCGTTGTCGTAGTCTATGCTCTGTACACTGGTGCCTTCCTTGAGCAAGCACGACTGCATCTCCACGTCTGTCATCACGAGGTGGGGCGGTGGAGAAAGATATCAATCACTTTTGGGTTCCTACTTCAACTCAATAATGTATCGCATAACTTATCCGGAGATGCCCCGACCGGTAGAACTGAGTGGACCAATTATCCGGATTTGTGAACGTGTCAATGATGGAAATTGCTGTTTGGGTGAGTCTGGACGTGAAAAACGGCCAAAATCATTGATAATATGTCAATTTCTATCAAATCGGCTAAAACTGGAGAATTATCTGTCTAGATGACCCGCAATTTGGAGAATTGGTTGCCACCTAGTCTTGACTGTCTGGATCAAACTGATTTCAATAGAATTTCAATAGAATACTCAGCTATTTCCAACTTTCACAAAAATACGTCCCTTGAACCACTTTTCTATTTTTTGGCAAAAAACGGGATATTTGGCAAAAAATTGAATTCCCAAATTGTGGATCTTCTTTTGGCCTTTTTTTACATCCAGACTCACCGTGAACCAAATTTTCGAAATATTGATACTTAGTACCATATATATATATTTGGTACTATTAATAGCAGTACCGGTACTAGTAAATACAATAAAAACCACAGTTTTTGATGGATTGATTAGTTATCAGTGTTTTCGTAGTCGCTGCTTCACGTATAGACACTTAAAGCTGTCTAATCGCGTTGAGTTAGTCCCCCTGCCCTTTGCCCATGTTGTTATACATTATGTCGTCTTAGCAGGGCTCAACCAAGGATGCAATCGAGATGCCATCGTCACAAAGCCAATTGAAGTGAAGTCCTGGATGGCAACCTATCAAGGCAATACACATTGATCTTTCTTGAAGGCAATTGATTGCTAGTGTTGTGGGCAACTGAGGGTAATCGACGCAGCACAGTCGTTATGGAGGACCTAAAAGGAAGCATTATCAGCTACTGTATAGCATCCTCCTCGTCTTATGCACACATCATGCGAACCTCCACCAGGCATCCATCGAACGGGGCGTAGAACCGACTTGCATGGAAGGGATCTTTTGCCGATCCGTTGTCATACACGATGGGCCGACGCAGGGCTTCGCTGGACACATCCAGTGCTTTCACCATGCTTGACCACTACCGATATGGGATATGATGGATGATACTGTAACACTGCAATCACAACAGGGGGTTATAACGTCATACCGTTGTCTCAGGGGTCACAGTCATATGCGATGACGTGGTTGCTGCTACTGTCGCCCCAAAGTGCTGCAGTTGATAATTGCACTTGAAATACGAATTGAATTCGCCATGGCTATATATGTCGTTGAGAGTACGTACATATATGAAGAATACTGGATATTATGTACTACATTGTCGATTTGATACAAATTTGGGGGTGCAATCGAATTTCGCGCCAACCAAACCGATCCACAATCGATCTGATTGGTTGTTGAATTTCATTGAGAAGGTTTTGATTGGCTAATAATTTTGAGCTCATCTGAAGTAGCCAATCAACGAGAAACCACAACACGAAATTTCACTCGAAAGCACAATATGTAGTATATAAAAAATGAAATAGAAACAGCTGAAACTTTATAGTATGGCGTCGTTGGTGCGCAAAATTTAGAAATGATAATATGTATAAGTGAAAAATATATAAAATATATAAATAGACGAATCATAGATATGTATATACCCCGGCAGGTTGGTTCGCAAAATGATCTTCGACACGGCATGCCACGCAGAGTACATGACGTCGATCCCCAAATCGGCAAAATTATGAAAATATTCGCCCCCGGTGGATCTAAAATAAACAGTAAACCAACGGAATTAGGAATAACTTTAGGGAAATGGACGATACATATTATGTCAACGTACAAGGACGAAGCATCCAGACTGGGCTTGAAGTACGTGGACGACGGAGGTCCCAGGGCACTGATCACTTCCTATGTGAAGTCTGTCGATATCGATAGATTTAAGTCGATTCGATATTGCAGTGGCTCAATCGAATGACCAGAAGAACAAAAAAATCGGCAGACAATCGATCGACCAATCAAAACACCCAGAACACGAATCAAGTGGCCAATCAAATCCACTCTTCGACGATTTCAACATCGAAGTAGTGTGTGTGACTGAAATTAGTGTGACACTGGAGGACCTTTTCATACAAAAGTCAATATTGTTTTGTGTTTATTCTAAACTGGAGCGACATGGAGAATGAATCGACACACAACCAAATGGACAGAAGAAGCATCGGCAGAAGGATTGAGCCAATCAGATTGCAGGAAACCATCGTCAACGTTGAATTAGTGTATGACTTGAATAAATGTGATACCAATCCCCACAGGACACCTTTGTACATACAAAATTCAGTATAAAGAAAGAATCGATCGATAGATTTGGCGATTTAGCACAAAAGTCCAAATTTTGGGTAAAAGGACAATATAAAGTAGTCTCGATCGATAGAGTTGGCGAATCAGCTCAAAAGTCAGCCAAAGTTTGGGTCAACGGATTATAATATGACGGACATACTTGTGGAGTATCGCCGATTCGAATCTCCCGGCGGGAGGTCGGGAACGTCACCACGAGCTTGTGCATATTGGCCATGTCCACCACCACGGGTTCGTAGTAGTGCCTACATGAGAAAGATATCGTCAAGAAGCCTTCTTCTGTGGATATATGACGAGTACTGCTTCAACGGGACGGGGATGGCTTGGTTCGTGGATGGCACGCCGTTGCCGCCGTAGATGGAGAGCCCCATGGCGGCGGGTGTGCTTCCATTCTGTTTGCGGCATGAGAGAGAGGGGATGTGAAGAGGTCGGTTGTACCGGGAGCTCCAACGGGAGTACGTCCTTGTTCCTGTACAGTTTCTCAAATTCCTTGGGAATCGGAAATCGAAAACTCCCCCCAACGTAATGCAACGTGTACAGTTTCGTCGCGGGGTCGTACGTTCCTGGGTAGGTTGGGCCCACCAACTACAGTATGCAGCCAAGACATGAGTTCAGACGACGGCGATGGACGATGTACCTGATACACCGACAGAAACGTGGGCGTGGCGTCCTTGCCGCACAAGATGTTGCTTTGGTACCGAAGGGCGAGGTTGTTCACTTGATAGACGTCGATGACGGTCAAGAGTTGGGTCACGGAGTGGAATTGCAACTACGTCGAGCAGTACATGTAAACCCATGGTTGGTCCGCGAGGATTGTACCTTGAAGCCATCGTCGGGGGAGTTGATCACAATATCCGACGCGTACGGCTCGTCTTCGTTGTATTCAATCTACAGCACTCCATCGTATGCGACGCTCGTCACTTGGGAGCGTTGCAACAGCATGAACGCTTACCTCAAAGGCGCGGACTGGGCTTCGTTGCTACATCGACGACGTGAGGAGATAAGGCGCAAGCATGTCGTCCATGAAGGTACCTTGAGCACGGTGATGACTTCAGAGAGCGTGGCTCCCAGTTGCAGTGGGCCTACCTTCCTTCCAAGCACGATCTCCCAGACTTCATCAACTTGCATGTTGACAGTTTCTTCCTTTCTCCAGCCTTTCGGATAAAGTGCACACCTCCCGTATCCGGATTTCCAAATCTTTTTCCACTCAGACTGGAAATTTATTGGCCAAAACTAACACAAAGCTACTTCACTGTGACAACAACATGAAGGCCGAGCCGTCGAGCCCAATTCGACCTAGCTCCATGGACACGTCGTCCGTGGCGGCGTTGCAGTACTCACCGCCGAGAGGTTCGAGCGTCAATGTGACCAAACCGCTGGGGTACCACAACGATGAGAATCCAGCGTTGGCGAAGCGTAAGCGAGTGCACCACATGGCCTCCATCGATGCAATGCCCCGCATCACTCCCAAAACGACCGCCCACAATCATGTCGAAGGCCGTTCCATCGCCGTTCGGATCCTCGTCCAGCCCCCTCGGGTCTGGTACCGCGACCAGAAAGGCCGACGGACGGTGTTCTGCATCAAGGTCGGAGTCGTGGACCAAGACGATAAGTTGTTGTCCGCTGATCACACGCCTGGTGGGTACTTCACTGCGACGCTGCTGTACGAGAACGGGTACGTCCGTTCACCTCTTCCTTCCTCTCTCTCATCTTCATGGAACTCTGACGCGGCTGTAGAAACGCAGTCGCCGACAAACGCATCGTGGAGCTGCGGAAAGGAGCGTTCTTCGACTCGCACGCGTCCACGGCGTCGATGGAGATTCGCATTGCCGACATTTCGAAAAACCACCAAAACCAGGTACATGAGTCTCATCACTGTATCACATTCTGTTGAAGTATGCAATTAGAAATTCCGCGTGCGGGTCGACTTTTTGTGGCCCCATGTGACTGTGGCCGCGGCCGTGTCGGACCCCATCCACGTTTTGTCCAAGCATGTGGTACGCTCCCCTTGACGTAGCTGTAGAATGCAGCTATCGCATGAAGCTGTCAAATACGCCAGAAGATCGCGATGATTCAGAGCCGATTTTGTCGATAGAAGAAGAGTCTGCCGGTGGAAATGCATCTGATCAAGTCAGACCATAGCCATTCCTCGAGCGACGACGGGACACCAATCTTCCGAACGCCGCCGATAAACAGTCCGACGACGTCCCCCGTCGTGGAAGGCCCTCGTCGTCCGCCGACTCCGCCGCCGACCAAGATGGAAGAAGGCGACAACATCTCGATCGGCCACGGCATGTCCATGACGAGATGGTGCTCGGCCGCACACCGCGTGCTCACACAAGTCGAGTGGTCACCATTTCAAGACGCCAGATCTGCGATACAGTTCAAGTGTCAGTGGTGCTTTGCCGTGCAGCCCACCCTCGCCACCGCCCAACATGCCGCGGGGTGTCTTCTCAAGTCTTTGCTGACCATGATTGGTATGTCCTCGTGTTGTTGTTATGTCATACAAAATTGCCATTGATACCATATCAGTTTTGTCGTTGGAATACAGGACTAGTTATTAATAGTTGGATATGTTAGTTAATTAGATATTTTAGTTAATTGGATATGTTTGCGTTTTGCCAGTCGTGGAGTGTATGTACTGTACAGTACATGTATTGTGGCTATTCGATTCGATTTTCCAGACCCCGTCGAATTGAATCGACGCTATTGGCTAATCCATTTTTGAGTGGATTTTTTTGATTGGCACTTGCAGAAACAACACAAGTATATTCAACCAATCAGAACTCCAGCGTGATTCAATATTGATTCAACAAGCGAATAATGTTGCAAGTTTATAGCGAATTCACAATACAACTATCTATACATATCCACTTTGAAACATCATAACTTTGCTGACGACATGGGGGATATATTACATTCTAGTAACAGACTCCACCGACGATCGAAGCGAAGCACCCCCCCCTCTACCATCATCTCCAGCACCCCTAGCTACCAAGTTTGAGATGGCCGAGCGGTTGCGCACTGCAACCAACATCTACCGCCCAGTACCCCACTACGCCACCACGACCACCTTGAAGTACATACACCTTACATTTTCCGACACATACCCATCGAGATTGATATGGATAGACGACCCAATGCTGTTCCCGTCGTCGACGACGACGACGACGAACACGGAAAGGACCTGACGCTTTTATCGATTGGAGACCTCTCAGCATTTGCAAAGTCGTCGACGTTTGACGATGCACTTATGCTCAAGAGCTTGAGCCAAGTGTCTGTGGCTGACGACTGGCGCTGCGCCAACTCGCCTTCTTCTTCATCCTCTCCCCCTCGGCAGTTCCTCATGGATGACGACTCGTCGCTGCTGTCGAGGTTCACAGACTCGACCATCTGTGCCAGTAACACGGAGGCGGCGGTCGTGGCCATCGGGGTGTTCCCGTTGGAAGGATGTGACACTGGGATGCCAGCGTTCGACGGCGACTGGACGTTGCTGGGGGTGTACCACACGGTGCCACCTCGTCTGATGGTAAGTATTGGCCACCCCACATGTATCTTTTGATCATCTGTGGGCAGTACTACAGTAACTAGTTAGTAGTATACTAGTAGCTGATGAGGTGGTGACTTGTGTTTGCCTGGAGCATATGAATGAAGTATCTATATTTGTACTATATATAGCCTCCTCGAAGTGCAAACATCGTGGACAGGTCGTCTTCCCTTCGGTTTGTGGCCATTTCAATTGACGACGTCCAGCGGGTATGGGATGCCAATGCCCAAGTAGCAGCAGACGTGGCGCAGATCAAGAAAGGCCGGATGCCCCGGGGGGGCAGTAGTTGCAAGTACCTGTCGTTGGGGGATGCCGAATGCGAGACCTTGGACAAGTTGAAGGCGTGCGTAGTGCGTCGGGCGGGCGGGCGCGACCTCAGTTAAGGGATATCCTCGTGTGACGACGTGAATCAACAACGATTTTGTATTGGGAAAGGGTTTTGGATCCGATGGATTTGAGTACACGGACTCTGCACACACTAACTGTAAGAATCGGAAACGTTACAAAACTATATAAGGTAATTCTAACGATTCAAATACGATACTAGTATTATTAATAGTATTATTAAGTAGTAGGATGGTATTTATTGTGCATTTCTCCCAAATCGACATTCAATTCTGCTGCGGTCTCCAGTTTCGAATTCGATTCGAAACGACAATACTATTAATAGTAATAACACTAAGTTAGGATAACGAACGGGTTACTTTGTTCCTCAACAGGCCTCGCCTGGGATGGATTTATTCCTTGCTACAGTATATGGACAACTAACTTACTAGTACAATAGACTAGCGATGTACATAGTGTGTTGTAACGAAGGGAACTGTCATCAGTACTGTAGTCAGGACATCTTGAACTCTGTTCAACACTGTTTTCGTAGCCAAACAAGTCGCGGTGGATACACACTACGATTTCGTCGCTTTGGGTTAGGGCGGGAGCTGACAGTTCCAATTGGAAGTCCCCAGTTGTGGACTTAGGGTGTCGGAGTTTGCTGCAGTAATGTAGCTACTCCTGTATTGAAATGGTTTTCACACTCAGCTAAGCAACACGAATTATTCCCCACATTATTTGAAGTACTCTTTTCGTTCGAAGTTTCCAGAAAAATATCCATTCTTTCCTTCAATAAAAATGTACTACTGTACGTATTATTATTTATCATTCTCATTCCAGGAAATGAACTATATACTTAATGCATGCAAAATGAATACTAGTACTACAGTATGTACTGGTACTACTGTATACTATTAATACTACGTAGTACTTCGAAGTAGTAGTATATTAATACTGCTGGAGATTTATTTTGTGACCACCAACCGCTTACTGTTAACAGTAAGCCCAGACACGCAGAAGTTCAACTGGTTAAGGCGGCGGCCTGTGTGTCGCTATAGACTTTTCAAGCGTCTGTGGGTGTTCACTGGTCTCATGTGCTCGTTCAATATTCGCTGATTGCTTCTGTGACGATGCACGAATACCTCGCCATGGATTGACAACCGAATACTGTATGATGATCGGTTACACATTCTGTAACTGATTTTCGTGTAACAGCCAACATCAGAGTCACTCTCGGTGGTGGTGGTGAGGTCGATGGACGCACCGTGGTTGGGCGACCCGCGCGGCAGTCGCGAGCACGTGACGCGCGTCTCCTCGCGAGGCCTTGTGGATCAACAGCGCCGTTCGATCTTCATCTTGCCCGAAATGCGCACCCAGCACCAAGCCGACGGCTCCACCGTCAAGAGGCAAACTATCTCCCGGCGCAACTCGTTCCTGGGCCACACGATCCCATTCAACAAAGTGGCGCCCGTGGCATCTTTACTGTCCCCCACAAAGCTCCGCAAATCCAAAAAGTCGGCCAAACAACGGCGGAAAATACCGCAAGACTACGACAAGCACTACCGCCACTCGAAAATCACTGAAGGGACCGCCAAGTTTGAAGATCATGCGAACGAGTGGGAAAACTACCAGCTCGGCGGGTTCATTGGCGTTGTTAACGAAGTGATCGCCACGAGAAAGAAGGAGAAGGCGCTTGTGACACAGTGGGTGATCATGCCCAACAGCTCATTCCGAAAGGTCTGGGACATCGTGCTCATCACGTGCCTCTGCTACGTCGGTAACACACTTCACCCCCTTGCCTTTTTTACTAGAAAATGTTCTACCGTGTTTACCCTGCCGTGGTTTCTTAGCTGTGTTTTTGCCCATGCAGCTGTCGTTCTACGCGAATCTCATGTACGTTGTCATAGTTTGGTTCCCCTGAGAACCCCCTAGGTGTAGTCGTTAGCCCCTCCCTTTAGGATGTCCCCCTCGTTGTAGTTGGTAGATATCCCCTTCAGAATAATACACCCTCAATCATGGCCCAGATGAACCTCGTCCTCATGCGCTCTGTCGTTTGTAGGAACATTGACAACGTCCAGCCATGGTTGGGCGTGTACATTGTCGACCGTGTCACAGATTGCATTTTCCTCGTGGACATCGTCATCAACTTTCGCAGTCCCGAAGTGTCGCGCAAGGGCGACGTCACGACGTTCAACGCCAACCAAGTCGCGTCTGCGTATTTACACTCGTGGTTCTCCCTTGACTTGGTGTCTATCATTCCGTTCGATTACATTTCGCTGTCGTTCGTGACGTCGACAACCACCCCCAGCGGCGTCCACCTGAGTCGCCTTCCACGCCTCCTGCGCATGTTTCGCCTCACCAAGATCCTCAAAGTCGTGGTATGTCACCCTTAAATATGCACATATACGGACATACATCCCCATCTCCAACATTCCTTCCCATGGTCTACATACATGTAGAACGCTAGCCGCATCTTTCAGCGCTACGAATCACACATTTCCATCAAGTACGGGTACCTCCGCCTCATGAAGTTCTCGCTCGCGATCGTGCTGATGATCCATGTACGTATCGTGGGCCATGGTGTTGGGAGATTCAACCAGCATTAGTGGTAGTATTTACTATGGGATGTTGTGTGTGGGGGGGGTAGTGGCTGGCGTGCGCGGCGTTTATGGCCACGATCTTTTCAAAGGAACAAGACGACAATGTCAACACGTGGCTCGATCAAATCTACCGAAATCACCTCCTTGGTGGAACCACAGCCACGTCGTCCATGGATGAGTACATTGCCAGCATCTACTGGGCCACCATGGTATGCCAACCCACACGTACTATCACTGCTTGTCATCTACAGTCCTACGTTTCTGCTGGTGTTCCCCGTCTTCGTCATCAAAAACTTCAAATTTTTCTGTACATTCATGTGTAGACGATTACAACGATCGGGTATGGGGACATCACAGCCATGAACACAGTGGAGCGAGGCTTCTTCATCGTCATGATGTTGATCGGCGCTGGCATGTATGCGTATGTGGTGGGTACCATGTGTCAGCTCGTCGAAGGCCTCAACGTCGACTCGCTCGACTTTCAGCGCCAAATGGTAAACAAACCTCCACCTCCCTCGATGTTGAATGGATGGGAAGAGTCGTCCTCAATTATAATTACATCACCAGGACCGGGTCAACGATTTCTTGGACATGAACGACATTCCGCTCTCGCTGCGGCTCCGCATTCGAAAGTACCTCCTGTATAAGCGCGATGCGCGCATCTCCAACATTTCCGAGCTGCTTTCGTCGGTGAGTCCCACGATTCGGGACGAAGTCGCGCTGTTCAAATTTGAGAAAATCCTCGGCTCCGTCGCGCAATTTCGTGGGGCCCCGCCCGACGTTTTGGCCGCGCTTGCTCTCAAACTCACCATGAGTAAGTACACCCTCCAGTTTCTACTACTAGTACTACTAATAATGTTGTCGTGTTTGCCGTCTATCGTTAATCGTTTAAAGCTCACCCCCCTGGAATCCGATATTTCCGAACTCTTGATGGTTGTTTGTTTGTAGTGGTGTTTGCCCCCAACGAAATGATCACCGTGTTTGGTCGCGTGGGGACGTCCATGTACATAATCAATCGCGGCCGCGTGCAGATCGAGCGGATGGCCAGCGACGGCCGCATCGTGGTCGTGAGTGTGCTGGAGGAGGGCAGCTACTTTGGCGAGCGGGGGCTGCTGTTCTCGTCCAAGCGCCGGGCGTCCGTCCGGGCGCTGTGCTTTGTCGAAGCCAGCTGCCTCACGAGGAAGGATCTGGACGACGTCACCACGGACTTTCCCAACGTGAAAAAAGTGATTCGGAAAAGTATGGTCAAAGACGTGATCGCGCGCAGTTTGCAGACAGGCGAGATTGTCGCGCTGGCCCAAGACAAGGTCTTTGTAAGGAAGCAAATGCTTCTGCACAATAAAGTGCACAGTCGACGGGCGAGTACGCAGGACCCGAAAGATATGATTCGGGCGGCGAGGGGGCTCCGAGGGTCCAACGCGTCGTCCTCTGGTGGGTCCTCGTCAGAAGGGGGGCTCAACGCAGACGACGACGAGCCAGAACCACCGGCAGCTCCTTTACAACCTCGACCAAAGTCCATCCCATGTACTGGATCTGTAGCACCGGAGTTAACTTCTGCATCCAGCCCCTTTGTTTCTGCAGAAGCCGCGGCGACTGCTCCAGAGGTTTGGATGAAGGGGGGGGCGCCACCTATGTGTCGGCCTTCGTCAGCAACAAAGCTCGCGTCGGTGCCCCCCGAGGAAGCGCAAACGGCACCTGTGTGTTTGGCGCCACCACCGTCGGTAGGAGTAAGGGACGAACCGCCGGCGCCATCAATATCGTCGGTCTTGACTCGAGAACAGTCGAATGAACGATCGACGCAGAGAGCACTGTGGCGAGTACGAACGAAAAGCTCCAAAAAGTTTGCCAAACCCGCCAAGAAACTGTTCCGGGTGGAGCCTGGCTGGGCAGACGACGGCGGCAACGGACGTGGCCTTCAACGACGAAGCCGCAGCATGACACGGTTACCCACGCTGAAAGACGTGGTTGGACGACATAGTCGGAGTCTCACGGACTTGGATGTTGTCAAGTCCAAATCGGCGCCAGGACAGCCGCAGTTGGAAGGGCACAATGGGGACACCAACGATGGTGACAACGACGATGATGACGACGATGTCTCCACAGACGAAGAAGACGAAGTGGACCCGGTCATCGGCATCCTCACAGGCCACCAACACATGCTGGATGTCATGAGCAACGCACTGAGCGACTTGAAACGAAAGTCCGACACGACGCAACTCACGCTCCAACTGTTGATTGCCAAGCTCAACAAGTTGGAAATGCTCGCGACCACGGCCCAGCAGCAGCAGCTGTCACAACAGTCCGCATTGAAAGACAACCCTATTTAAGATGGAATATACACAGGAAACGAGGACATAGATAACGCTAGCATCCTTCCTGCGTGTGAGGTTCGCAAACCCGAAAACGAATTGCAAACGTCGTAGACGGTTACAGAATCGACACATTTGAAACTGCCACTAATCAAAAACGGTTTCACCAAGCGCATCCGCATGCGATCGGCGGCGGTCCATGCGGTGGTTGTGGGTGAGTGTGGCGTCGGGAAAACGTCGCTCGTTCATGCGATAGGTGGGGAACTCATTCGCAAAGGTAGATTTCCAATCTCCGTAGCTAGCCGTGAAATACTGTATGTACCCCATGGACATATGCAACTTGTATCATGTTCGGCTGCTTTGTAGAGGCAACTGCCGTGTACTATCAAGTGGCTCCCTCCAATCGTTCTTCTCAGCCGATTTGTGTTGTCGAATGCGCGTCGTTGGCGCATTGCAAGGAACTTAACCCTCAAGTGATTGTGCTAGCGTTTGATCTGTCCAGGCCCGACTCGTTTGCTGGCATCATTGCCAAGGTGCGAAATAGTAGTTAGAATTACTAGACTCCATTTGTGTGGCTTTTGTTTGCATCAAAAATACATCAACCCCATCATCCATGGAGTGTCCAAGGATTATTTTCACGAGGCCGTCCATGGCCCTAGTGGGCGACTTTTGGGGAGCAACCACACACGACAAAGACGATCCTGGTCGGGTGCAAGTCGAACCTGGCGACGAATGACATGCTCGTGTCATCGGAAGCCAAACATTACGCGGAGACCGAATTCGACGCGTATTTTGAAACATCCGACACGGTCGACCACTCGATCGATCAGATCCGCCTCTTGCTTCTTCCGAGGTAGTTACAACACGCTTGGAGTCGTCTTATTGCATGAACTGAACGCTGCGTAGGGCCACGAGTGAGTCGCGCCCCATCGAAACCAACGGTGGTCGTACTATGGACAAGAACGTCGTCGTTCGAGAGACAATTGCTGTGGACAAGGCCACGCGGGATATTTGGCTGTATGACAAGAGTTTATTCGTCCAGCAGAGTGTAGACATTCACGGCAGCAGCAGCGCCTCCAAAGCGCGCATCTTTTTATCCGGCTTGGCCATTTCCAAGCGACACGACATTGCCGCCAATGAACGAGGTCTTGCGCTGTCTAGTCGATTCACGATGCAACGTCGCAAGTCGCCCGTCGAAATCCCCCAGGGGAGCAGTTCAAACGCGCCAAGGAAACAGAAACGTATCCACTTGACCAATACCGATGGGACATCCAGATCATATTCGTTCATGCAGCCTACGCGAGCCAGCATCCACCGCGCAGAAGCACTCTCACGCAAGAACGAAAACATTGACGAATTCACGACCGATGCACCTACATCTGTCAGAACAAAGCCGTGTACAAAACAACCGTCGCCCATTCTAAAGGTGCTGGACGGTCTGGCAAAGCGAACGTCCCTTCAAAGTGTCTGCGATACAGTGGACACCAACACGAACATGATTGCAACCATACCCACTGCGGACAAAGTGGAAGTCGACGGTGGCATTGAAATAGACGTCGAAGCGAGCCCGGTTGTGGATCAAGTGGAGATCTCCCTGCTTGCAGTGGAGTCGAACGACCCCCCACGACCCTTGGAATCCCAAGTGGCTATAGAAGGCTGGATGGAGGCACCCGAAGTAACACCGCATGCCGAACCCCTAGTTGACCATGACCAACTAATCGAGCCGCCAGCCACGACAGACGTCGTCATGCCGCCCCCTGACGACGCATTAAGCTCGATCGGAGACGATGACGACATCACGTTCGACGACGACGATGTATTGGACGCATTAGAATCGTTTCAATTGTCGATATGAATACGTACATACATCCATGTGTACACCGATGGCCGATATGCGATGGGTGTATCGTCTGCTCTTGTCTGCGTTCTAGCCCCTTGTCCTTGGACAAAAAGTCGCGCATTGCTGTTGATGACATGGAGCCCTCACAGGGCAAATGCAAATGTTGCCAACTGAAGTAAAGGGATTTAACTTGAATTTACTCGATCGTTTTTCATTCTTGAAAGAATGCATGGAACAGAACGTATATGGGCCGTACTTGGACGACTTGGAATTTCATAGCCGGGGTGAATTCACACTTAACAGTGCACTTGTCGACTGTACATTTTGGCGCGGACAGCAGCAGCCCCTCCACCCATGTACCCGTGACTGGTAGGGTCCCTAATACAATGATATGACCTGCACGAGCTTTTACCATAGTCACATTATTATTGGCGACTGCAGTGGCCAAGCATCGAGTACGTGCTGGGCTACAGTGTCGTCGACATCGGTCAATCATCCATTCTCTTTACGTCCCATTCCATGTATTGTGCTTTCGAGTGAAATTTCGTGTTGTGGCGTGGTTTTCTCGTTTGTTGGAATTTAAATCGATTTGATTGGCTACTGCTCAAAATTATTAGCCAATCAAAACCTTCTCAATGAAATTCAACCAATCAGATCGATTGTGGCGTGATTCGGTTGCACCCCCTCCCCCAATATATTGGAGATTCGGTATGAATTTCCGGACGTTACCTATCTATCTGGTGGAGGTCCGTGCCTCCATGATGTACCTCGATTGCTGATTTGTCCTCAAATGTGATTGCGTCAGCTACTGTATACACGTCCACACTACTACGTAGTACTAGTAGTAGTGTAAGACAGGCCAATCTATTAGCCATCCACACTACATGTATACAAATTAATTCCTTCATACAAAAGACGACTTTATTCGAGATATAGTACCCAAAACTAAGAAGTGAAAAAACAAGGAAGCAACTAAGCTTACAGTAACGTTTCCAGTACCAAACAGTCGTCAATACCTCCTTGTTGTGCCTTCAGCCTAACTTACACTAGTACCAGTATGGTGGCAGCAACAGTCAGTCACTGTATTCCCCATATCTTTACTTTGAATTGCAGGGTTGCACGGAGCTGCCTTAATTTACAGCAGCTTTAGAGATGCGCTGCTGTCAAATTTCGACGAAAACCAGCCCAAATTACCTTGTCAAGTACGTCACGACTGATTGAACGAGTGAGTCCTCCTCAACAGCGGAGGTGTCGGCACGTGTGAAATCCTAGCTGGAGAGCGGGCGGAAGAGTTGGCATGGTCTATCCAATATGTGCATGTATCCGCCTCTAGATGATGAACCAAATGACCAAAGCACACTACGACGCTATGAATGAATCACTTGCCCATCTTCTGCTTGGAAGACCCTGGCGACGACGGTGGGTTCGTGGGCTGGGTTGGTTCCATCGCAACCTTATCACGCGCGATGTTGTGATGCCGACATTGAGTGTTTCCATGTTGCTTTGCATTCTTTTGAAGTGATGGGGTGTGTGTGTTCTGCGGAATGCCATTTTGGTGGACGTGGCCACGGTTGAGTGTTCTGTGAAGCTTGCCCTCAATGCAATGGTGATGTTCCGTGGAAGAGTGTAAAGCTTCCTCACGCACGTGCATATCCCACCACTTTCCATTTGGCGCAGTCACGACGACATGAACTCCCCCGACCTCAGCGACGACACCCTACTTGACGTTGACCTGTCGCTGTTGCTATCGTCCGAAGATGAAGCCAAGTTTCACCACGTTGTTTACTTCCTTCAGCTGCATCCAACTTTGATCAATCAGCTCTCCCGACAACAAGTAAACGCATTCCGAGCGGCGGGACTCTTGGAGATCGAACTCAGCGCCAGCCACCGATCGGCGTCGATCACTCGAGAGATGCTGACCACGGGCCCCATGGCGCTGATGTTTCCGCATTACAAGACGTTTTTCGGCGTGAACCACGTGACGTTTCGATGGCAGGCGACGACCAGCGGCGTGGACGTGACCATGGCCAACACCAGTCGGCGCCCGGTGTTTGTGGGGTTGCGCGTCTTGGGTAACATTATGTCCATGCATAGTATCCTTGGGTTGTCTGACATGCACGTCTAGCGCCCCAAGGTATCATGGCCCTACACTTGCACGATCTGGTCCGCCTCCTCGAAACTCCTTCCAAGGTGCTCTTGCTCGGATACGTCGTCACAAAGCGTGCGATCCCGCTGTCGGTGCATCCTCCTGCCCACAATCTGCTCGTACATCATGTCTCCATGGAAACCTTGTCATTGAACTCCATTGGCTTCCAGGGTCTATTGTATTCTCAGCCTATTTTGCAATACACCCGCCTTGGCCTCACCCTAAATGTACGATCCGTCGTCGAATGCGTATGATACTATATTCATGTCGAAACATTTAATGTCACAGAATCGAGATGTCCACAACATGCGCACGGCCTTAGCCACGGGACTAGTCAATTTCGTCCAGATGGTAACTATGTACGGCTGCAAGGGTAATTCACCTATTGATTGTGTTTCTTAATTGTAGTCGGAGCTCCTCGTGAACGAGGCGGGGCAGTCCGTGCCGTTCGTGTCGCAGTCTGTGGGTTGGGAGGTCGAGTGTGCGTCCTGGAAGGTGTTGGAGGACCTCGTGTCTGACGGGTGCCAGATGCTCCATCTGTCCTGCGCGACGACGTCCAAGGCCCTCATCTTGGAAGACGGCCGCGGCGGCGCGTTCCCCGTCGGCGTCGACGCGTTAAAGCGACTGTTTCAAGGATCGGCGGTCCAGCTCGTCCAACTCTCAGAGTGCCCGTCCCCTACAGGAGGTTTGGTTCACTAAGCTAGGAACCTTCGCTTCTATCGAATGAACTCATCTCAGTCGAAATGGGTTGTGGTAGGGACAGCTTCTCAGTTGCTGCTGGACGCAGGGGTGCCGTACGTCGTCGCAGCCGCGCCGCACATTCGCCAGGTCACGTCGTCGCAGTTGCTTCGCTTTTCCACGTACGTTGTAGTTGTTTGTCTACATGTTCAACAGACATGTTGACATTTGAAATATGTGTTATATATTGCACGTAGCCACTTTGTAGTTGTTGATTGTCTACAAGTTCAACAAACATGTTGACATTTGAAATATGTGATATATACATATATAATATATATGTATATATATATTGCACGTAGCCACTTTTACGGCGCCCTCATGGGTGGCAAGTCGATCGACGCGAGTTTCTGCTTTGCTCAAAATAGCCCGAAACTGCCAGCTGACTTGGTACTCTCAGCCTGCCACGTCATAGCTGACCAGGAGTAGTTTTGTCTGTATGGCCAATCCAATGGCCACCACGGCTCTGAAGTGCTCTTTCCGATAACTGACGCCCCTGAAACTATATTTGAATCGTTGCCCACACACCGTATGACTGTCAATGTGTGCAAGGTATGGATGGCTGCTGCTAGTACTCGTGGATGCACAACGTCGTCACATATTTGTAGGGATTCATAGGTCGATTGCGCAAAGCCCATGATGTACATATTGCATCACATATTGAAAGTGCACGGATTGCTGCATGATGCTTGGTAGATTTGCTTTTGGCTGTTGGACCCAACCCATGACATCCGCTTCGTCAACATCCATGGCCCGTCTGGCATCGGTATATCTGCATTTTCACGATTTAATTGGAATGGATCAAATAATATTATATTTTTATCCCAAATTTGGACTTTGCGTGCTCACTCGCCAAATCTATCGATCGGTTATACATGACTGAATTTTGCACATACATAAAGTTGTCCTGTGGTGATTGAAATCACACTAATTCGAGTCCCAATGATACGAATTAGATGTTGATGATGCAATGTGATTGGCTAAACACTTTTACCGAGATCTTCTGTAGAATAAACCCAAAAAATCCTATTGAACCATATAGGCAAGACGCAGTTGGCACTAGCGGCGACCCAATACGCGACCGACCGCGGCGCGTTCGATGGCGGCATCCGCTTGCTGCATGTCAAGGACATGGTCCAGCGCAAAGGTGCTGAACATGCAGTCGTGTGGCTGCAGCGGATATTTATCAACATCAAAACCAACAGGTCCAACGACATATAGTCCATTTTCCCCAAATTTCGACTTTTGTGCTAAAAATCGCCAAATCTATCAATCGATTCATGGGACTGAATATTGTATGTAAAAAGGTATTCTTTGGTGATTGGTACATATCACACTAATTAAAATCCAACACTAATTTGACTTTGAAGATGGTTTCCTGCAATCTGATTGGTTCAACCCTTCTACCGATGAGTCTTGTGTTCATGTATTTGTGTCGATGCATTCCTTCTCCATATCTCCCCTATTTAGACTAAACACAACAATATCCTTGGGTCCAACACACACTGACACACATATATATATATGTATAGTTTGTTGATAAATATATATATACACTTGGTTTTAATCATACTATATGTCTATGGCAGTGGACGGGCCAAGTCGTGGTTGGTGGTGCTGGACGGCGCCGAAGTGTTTTTCCGTACGGCGTACCATGCTGTAGTCCTGTTGGATTTTGTGCCGGCCATATTGAAGGACATGCCAAATATGACGGTGGTTGCGACGACGTTGGAAACGGTGGAATTGCCGCCGCCCCTCAAGCAGTTCCATGTCGGCCTCGACTCAAACCCAGGCGGACCATTGCGCTTCCGCGCGCTGTCGACGGACGCGGTCTGGGAGCAACAGACGCGGCTGCCTCAAAACGACTTGGACGTCGAATCCCCACGTCCGACGCATGCCGTTGCCGCCGCTGCCCCCGCCAACAACTGTAGCCTCATGTAGTGGTTGGTTTCTAGGATATTAAAGTTGACCGTTCGTTATCAAATCGATTCATTCTAAATTGTTTATAACATATTGTTTGTAGCGTCGCCATGAGGTTGGTGCTACATGTACCGGTAGTTTGTTATAAGGCCATTGAAGCGATTTGGTACTTACTACTTGATTGCACGAGTGTAAGTTTACGGTATAATTTATTATATTATACAGTTTATTGCACCTACACTTTACCACAAATATACTCGATACAAATGGAATTTTTACTAATATAAATGTACAAAAATTAGACGTGAGCACAGTCAAAACTGATCATCATTCCCACTGTTTTTCACTTTCGAACAGAGGTAGTACATACATACAGTTAGTTAGACGATGACTGGACCTGACAATAGGACAACAATTACGTCTTAACAAGCGTTCATTCCAATTCAACAATTATAATATTGTCGATTTGATACAAATTTGGGGAGGGGGTGCAATCGAATCGCGCCGACCAAACCGATCCACAATCGATCTGATTGGTTATATTTTATTGAGAAGGTTTTGATTGGCTAATAATTTTGAGCTCAACTGAGGTAGCCAATCACATCGATTGAAATTCCAACGAGAAACCACAACACGAAATTTCACTCGAAAGCACAATACAAGTATAATTACACTAGATATTAATCTAATTATCGCTTCATCCACATGTCATCCACAACACTTGAGGGATGAAAAGCCTTACAGTTCGCCCTGAGTGTCTGGTCAAGCGCGACCGATCGACGCTAGAGTAAACGCAACAATTAGACTCTAGATACCCTGTGTACGTACAGTAGTCGGAGCGTCCGACCAGCTTGCGACGTTTGCTGCACCTACACATAAGACTTGATAATATCAACGAAGACCCGAATTTTATTCACTTGGCAAGAATTCCCGCCAAAAATACAAAGTAAGGTGAGTGATGGTAGCAAATGACCAGCATTCATGTCGAACCCTTTAAAAGTTGGGCACAATTGAATCAACATGGCACCGAAGTCAGCGTTAGAGGATGTAGTGGAGACGCTGGAGAAGCAACTGCTCAACGCGGCATCGGCAGCCACCAACAACGACGAACAGGACGCCGTGTCTACTGCAGTGGGCCGCTTGCATGACGTGGAGCTACATGCGTACCAGATGGACGGCTTGAAATGGTTGGTGCATCGCGAACAGGCGCATGTAAATGTGATCTTGGGCGACGAGATGGGACTGGGGAAGACGCTGCAGACGATTGCGTTCATTAGTTACTTGAACGCAGCGTATCCGTCGTCGTTCCAGTCGTGCTTGATCGTTGCTCCGTTGAGCGTGTTGCCCAACTGGAGCGAGCAACTCGGTCGGTTCGCCCCGCACTTGTCCGTGCTCTCGTATTCTGGCGACAAGGAACAGCGACGTGTCCTTCAAGCACAGGTACATCATTCACGACAGCCCCATGTATCGTCTCCATCATTCCATTCTTGTCATAGTTTGCCCTGAATCCGACGGCGGTGCTGCTGACGTCGTACGAGTTAGCGGCGCTCGACACGTCCTTCCTCAAGGCAGGTCCGTCCTGGTCATTAGGTGTGTTTGACGAAGGCCATCGCTTAAAGAACGCCAAAACCCAGATCCACCAGACCTTGCGCGACGACATTCAGTACGAACGAGCGATCGACCAGCCCAACGAATGAACGATCTCATTTGGCCTGTAGATTCGACCGGAAGGTGATCCTCACGGGCACTCCAGTGCAAAACAACTTGGTCGAACTCGCAGCTTTGCTGTCATTCCTCAACCCAACTCTGTTTACGCCCACGGCATGCCAATCGCTAGCTTCTTCCATGTCGCCGTCGTTGCTGCGGTCGATATTGGCACCCGTGATGCTGCTTCGAACTGTCCGAGATGTTCAGGACTCTCTAAAGTTGCCGCCGCTGACCAAGGTGGTCATTCACACCCAGCTGTCGCCCATGCAACGCGCGTATTACAAGCAGATTGTGTCGAAAGGCACTGCGTTTGACACGACGTACTATCATATATATATATATATATTAACTGGGGTTTCTAGGTTGTCATTGATGAACATCTTGGCACAGCTGCGGAAAGCCTGCAACCACCCGTACTTGTTTCCCAATGCTGAGCCGGAACCGTTTCAAGAAGGCGCCCACTTGTACATGAATAGCGGCAAGTTGTTTGTGCTGCACACCCTCTTGCACGAGCTCAAGG